TTGTGGAGCGCACTATCTACAATAAATATTCGAATTAAATGTTTTCTAAAAAATATATTACAGTGGAACTTACCATTGGATTATAACACTTAATTCAATTACATATTTAAGAATACAGTGCTCTAATTAAAATTACGTATCTGATTAAAGGTAAATATTTCTAGGTGCCAGTCAGTCTGATCTTGACAGGTTCTAGGTCCTCCAAGTGATCGAGATAAACGCAGAATTGAAAAATTAACAACATTGTATAATTAAGTTTTTTCATTCCGAACAAGTTCGAAATAACGAGGGTTGACTCTACATTGTCTTTATTGTGGTAACTAAATGGCATCCTTTCAATTTGAGTAATACTGATCTCTCTGATTTTATGTTATAATAATCTCCATAATTTGAGTTATTATGACTAACATATACGGTTTGTACCTGAGTTGTACCTGAGCTTCCTTACGGAGTTCTTAAACGAGTTTAAATATCAAACTGAAGTTAAGATATTTTGAACCTGTCGAGTTGTTTGAGTCTTTCCCGTCTCTTGAGTTCTAGATCTACATAACATAGGAGGGAAGAAGGATTAAGGAGGACATCAGGAGTGAGGATGGTGAGGGAATAAAGACGATGAAGTGACTGGGGAAAACGAGGAAGTGTAGATAAAAGATGGTACAAAGAGTAGACAAGGTGGTGAAGTGAGTAAGGATACAAAAGAGGAAGAGGAGAATAATGTGGGTACAGAGATTAGACAAGGTGGGGGAGTGACTGAGGATACAAATAAGACTGAGGACCAGATTATCATCAATGAGGACAATAAATTGAAAGTGGAAATAAGAATAGTGTCCCTGAGGACAATAATGTACACATGAAATAATGAATGCGTGTACATAACAGAATGTAGAAATCAGAATAAAATCAATGATTGCATTGATGTAGACGATGATAAAAGAAATGAGTACACAAGAAAAGCAAAAAATGAGGATCGGGGGGAAATTTCATAGGAAACTTCGAAAGCAATGTGGCAATAAAACAGAAGGCGTGGACAAACAACTAACAAAAATTGAAAGTGAGAAAATAAATAAAACTGAATGTGAGGACCAGAATAAAGCCACTGAGGACAAAAGTTGAGACAAAGAAGAAGGATATGATCTGTTTCTGATAGTAGCATGTTATCCTCTGGTTCTATATGTCTGCACTTCACTATGCAATCATTTGTTCTGCAAAACTTAGCAAACACTCAAGTGCCAAATGATATTTCTGGCATGTCTATTACATCAGAGTTCAATCCTTCCAATCACATCACCTTGCTATATATCTATTCCCTATTAAGTTAAATTTTTCGTTTTTTGAGTAATTTTTTTTATCACTTATCAGTATTTTCCTGTAATATTCAAAATAACAGTGATCGCAGGGTTCATTTATTTCTTGGTTATATTTTCATACAGTATTTTTTTTATTTGACGACGAATCTAATTTAGTAATGCTGTAATAAATGCATTTCGTGTGTAAAAGTATTTGTCATTTAAATGTTTATAGAATAGAATGTTATTCAGGATTAGGAGTAGCCTCTTTCTTTACTCCTCACTAAAATATTGCTAGTGAAGGGAAAATTTCAAGAGTTCTGTGCAACAATATATCCAAGAAGTGGTGTGAATCAGATGTGGATACATAAAAATTCTTAGAACTTTTAAACAATTTGAAGATTATATCAAAATCAACAGCTTAAAAACTTACAACTTTTCAACTTTATACACAACCATTCCCCACAATAAATTAAAGTCCAGGCTTTTTATATCATTGACAGCTGCATCTTCAATAATTCTGCTTCATAAGCATACAAAAATAGGCCTTCTAATTCAACGGAGCACAATTGGTACTCGATGGAATTTCAATATATTGTTGGAAGACCTGCATGGACTCCTCCAAAAACGGATATTGACAAACAATAATAACATCGAGATACGTAACAAAATGCAATTTGCTTAAATACGAAACCGTGGCTTCTACAAATAAGATGTCAGCGGGATGTTAACAACTCACATGACTTCAGCAGTCATGTGCAATTATGTTAATGTCAGGCAGGTATTGGACTCAAACATAATCCAGTAAAGTACAGTAACATGAAAACATTTTACAGGTATGTACATAAAACGCATAGAGTGCTTAATTTCCAGTATATAAATGCAAATAAAGAAAATGCAACCAAATTGTGTCAAAGTAATACAATTCAACATTCTTTTTTTTTAAATAGAATTTATCAATGTGTAAACTCATGCCCTTGTATTCACAATCTGCATGAATAAAAGTGCAAAGCAATATATACTTTTTTATTAATAAAATCCACTCTGATTTAGATATATCGATAATGTATTGTCAATTAATAATGGTACTTTCCATTCCTACGTCGATACGATATATCCTGGTGACTTTGAGATAAAAGATAGCACAGATTCCGACACTTCTGCTTCATACTTGGATATTTTACTTGAAAAAGACACTAATGGTAATCTAACAACCAAGCTATATGATAAACGCGATGACTTAATTAATTTTTCTATCGTCAACTTCCCTTACTTATGCAGCAATATACCTTCATCACCTGCATACGGAGTATATATATCTCAGTTGATTCGATACGCAAGAGCATGCTCTACGTGCTCGATTCTAAAACGAGGTAAATTATTGACAAGCAAGTTGACTAAACAAAATTTCAGCAGTCTCGTTTAAAATCATCATTTCGTAAGTTCTATGGTCGATACAATGACCTTGTCAGCAAATAAAATTTATCATTGAATCAAAGGCTGACTGACGTTTTATACCCATTGTTAGTCCATTATTTATACACTGAATTGACGACGGATTTTTCTGTTAATTCCTGATCATGATAAGGAGCACACGGCGGGTGTGATCGGTCGTCAGGGGATGCTCACTCCTCCAACGCAACTGATCCCACCTCTGATATTTCGGGGTCCGTGTTTGCTCTGCTCTTGTTTTGTATTAATTTATGGACTTTGAGATTGAATACTGTTCGTTATCTCCATGTCCTTTTGATGATTATCCCAATAAATGTAAAGACATTTAAAACACCAGTTATTAATTAAAGTCTACTCCCTGGCCATTTAGGTATTGTTTTAATGGACTTTGACCTTGTATATATGGTTCATTATCTTCATATTTATCCATTATGCAATACAAAGCTCTTATAAATCAATTTGAGCGGAACACTGAAATAAAATATGCTTCATAAACTTAATATTGATCGTACGCGGATTTTTGTATCTAATGTTTAGATCCGAATGAAAATTATAACTGAAAACAGGTAGGATGCAACTTAGAGATATTTTCCTTGCACATTTATTCTAAAATTAACTTATGTTATGTGATTAATAAATTGTCACCATGCTCTTTATTCTTGATCACTAGCACTAATCTTGGGGGAAAGAAAAAGAGATTTGGTATCATTTTAACACAATTTTACTGTTTAAAGTGAACTTCTTTTCTGAATAAATTTACAGTTTTGTAAGGCTACAAACCATATTTATTTACAGTAAATGCATTTAAATATTTGTGTATTGTGTAAAGACTGATCCAGACCATTTGAAGAACCTAAAGAATTAAAGTAGACAATGCAGAAACAGAGAAAGTCTGGAAATTTTGTTTCTCATCTTAAGCCACGCTGGACACGTAATTACTGGTGATAATAATATAGTCGGAAATAAAGACCTTAAAGCAATCATCTTAAAAGGTCAGAATACATATTATGCCTGACGTTGGGATAAATATGGAAAGGAAGACTTGAACACTTTGTCTGAATATATTAAAACACGTAACGCATCTGGAATATTTCGCATTTTTATAACTATATTTTACAAAAACTTGGGTTTTTATTCTGCATATTGAGATCCAATTTATTCTCACATTTCCTTTTCTAAGGATGAAAGTTTTCAAAATCACATTTTTAAAAACTTGAATATATTTTAACATTCCAGATAACCAAGTTGAACCTTAAACTTCATAAAAATCATAATAAACAGTAATACATTGCAGGGTCAAACAAATAAGAAGCCCCTACCCTTACAGAACAATTATTGCCGATAAGGAGAAACTTCATATGTCTATTCTATAATATATTCTTGAAGTGTTTTAAAATGAATATGTGAATGAATATATGGAGAAACGAACAGTATTAAAAGCTCAAAATCTTTAAACACTACAAAACAGGAGCAGAGCAAGCACGAACTTCCAAAACATCAGAGGTTGGAACAGGTGCCACGGAGGAGTGAGAGTCTCTTACCGACCTGTCACACCCGTCATGTGCTCCTTGTCATGATCAGGAAATAACAGGAAAATCTTGTTACAACTCAGTGTGTATATAACGGCCGAACACCTCGTATGAAAAACATCAGTCAGCATTTGAAATAACGAAACAATTGTATTTGCTAACAAGGCCATTGTATAGACCATAGAACTTAAGAAATGATGACTTTAAACGAGACTGCTGATATTCTTGTTTCTACAACTTATTTGTCAATATCAAACCTTGTTTAAAAAATTGTTCATAAGTAAAGCATGTACTTGAGTATCGAATTCACTGAGTGGTAAAAACTCCGTATGCAGTATAAATCTATTATTATTTTAAATTGAAGATATCTTACCTTGTCAGCAAATACATTTTTTTTATCATAGAGTCAAATGTTGACTAACGTTCTTCTACACTAATTGTAATGCCTTCATTTACACATGAATTGATGACGGATTTTTTCAGATATTTCCCGATCATGACAAGGAGCACACAACAGGTATGACCGGTAGACAGGTGATGCTGACTCCTCCATGGCACCTGATCCCACCTCTGGTGTTTTAGATGTTTGTGTTTGCCCTGCTCCTATTTTGTACTATTCTATGGACTTTTGAGCTTGAATAATACTGTTCGTTATCTTCATCTATATTTCATGTAAGAGATTTTTTCTATACTTATTATACCTGAAACTTTTCAGATGTTACCTGTAAAAATGGAAGTCATTAGACGATCACAAATGTAAGTTTTAATTATTGCTATATATAACGTGTACTCTTAAGGGGGGATCTATGTCGTTCTACGTCAAAGCAGCGTTATGTGACGTCACAATAGCGACGTTTGCTTTTACCTGTTGACTTTTGCAACTATGGTATAGGCTTACCATTGTTTATAATCAATAGCGTACACAATTTACAAAACGAAAATTTATACATCTTTAATAGCAGTTTTATTTGATTGATGGAGTTTGTTAATATTAGAAATCTCTTCCTTGGGTTGATAATTCATAGCAATTTCAGTTGTGAAAAAACACCTCGATAATATGCTGATATAAGTGCAAAAAGATAAAATAAAATTCAGCAAAGAAAGCAGCTTAAATCAGGGTAATACGTTTAATTTCATATTTACCATTAATTGTATTTTCTCGATAAAACTAAGAAAAAAATTTTAAAATGTACGTTTACCTATATTTGCTTATTGATTAGCACATTTAGATTTAATTGTATAAAGTCATTCCTAGGATAATGCTTATAGGAGTTGGTTGTTGACGAGGAAGAGGTGGGGGGGGTGATTGGAATCAAAAAGAAAAGATTAAATCAGTGTAAATTGTTACAAATCAAAACGAATTATTTGTTTTCCGCGAAATAGTGTTATATTCAGATGTTTGTCAGTGCTTACTTACCCTTGTCTTAGTGCAGAAAGGTCAATATTTATGACATAAGAGTACGAAAATAAAAGAAAACTTCACATTTCTCGTTTATTTTATCATAAAGGTATACTTTTTTCTTAATTAAAATAAAGAGATAATTCATTTCTTTCAAAAAATATGAACTACAACATTTTCACACAAAGACTTTTTAAGATATTAGCTTTTATGCATGTCGGAATTGCAAAAAATACGACAAGAAAAATGGGGTAATACTTACGTTGTGCTCCTTTATAATTTTTCATGCGAGATGAATTACAATGATTTTGCCTTCATTTTAAAGATACAAGTCAAATAATTTAAATACATGTTTATCTTGAATGTGATTTGACATTTTTTATTCTTTTTAGCGCATATTTTTGGTAGAACAATACTGTCTGAAAATAATCTATTTTTAGCATTTCACAGTGTTTTTGCACGTGCTCCTGTGTAAAAATAAGCATATAAAGGTATTGTTTTTAATACCTAAAAATTAAGAGCAAGTGGTCATAAAAGAAATGTCAAAGTTTTGAAAATTATTCATGATCAGAGCTATATGTATTACAAATCTGTCCTGAAAAAAAATCAAATTTTAAAAATGATGTATACTTTTCAAAATATCGAATTATATACAAAGTGCAATTATGGTAGTCGCCGCACCTAAATAACGTCATAATTATGATGAATTCGCGGCGTCATACACTTAAACGCTTCCCCTCCGTTTCATTAAAAATATTTGAGATTCACAAACACATTCACATATTTTTCTTTTTATAAAAACTATTGGCACCCATTGTAAACTCAGTCTATACATAATTTAGTTATCTGTCAAAATTCTTTGAACAGTACCATAAGAAAAACTTAAAGTTTTCTTATATCGCTCTAACCGTCTTATCGTCTCTCTGTTTGAACAACGTCGGACACCATTTCAAGAACGTTTACGCCCGACCTTCGTTTTTCGGTCTTCTGTCCTCTGCTGATCATTCAGTGACCCATGACCAGCTAAAAATCGCTGAAACTATCTGTATTGTATAAACAAGTCTCTTATTTACATTCTATCCTCGGTGTGTCTGATTATTATCGTAACTGTTTCTAAGAGCGATTTCTCCATTTTGAAGCAAAAACGCATTGCAGATCATTTCAGCAGTTTTTCTCCATTTCGACAATTCTTTTGTTTAATCCAATAGATTGAAACAACAATGTATATGATCAAGAAGCGATGACGTCATTTTATTTTCAACTTAAGACTAGAAAATGTAAAATTTTTCTTTTAAAATATTGGGAGATAAGATTTTTTTTTCGATGCTTTTTAATTTGTTTGTTTTTTTTTTCATTCTAACAATATTCAAATCAAAACGTGACGTTTAGTTGTGATGCGGCGACACCTCTTATGTTTAATACGTCTATAAAATTAATTCAAGTAAACCTTATTAAATGAAATTATCAATTTTGATTAAATTTAGTTTTATGTATTTTTTGGTATATTATATTTGATAATATGACGCCAAATACTAAAGATATTGACACAGTTACATTACTTTTGGATCAACCCTCGTACATTAGACACTTTTCAATGCTATTTTTGAAAAATTTGATGATTTAGTTGAGGAAACAAGAATGTTCTGAGGAATGCATGTGTTGTCTGCCTTATGGCATCATTAAAGATGTAAATAGCTCATTAGAGAGATCAGTATTATATTTTATGCTCATTTAGTGAAATACTTATAGAATATAAAATGTGAAAATAAACTATTGTAACGAGCAGAAACAAGACCAGGTCACGTTTAAATCTTTATTAAACAGCAATAAAGGACAATGGCATGTGTCTATAAAAAAAAATACATAATTATAACTTCAAATATAATGAAAAATAACATGTTATGAGAAAAAATAACAAGTTATGAAAAAGAAAAGTATTTCAAAAGCAAATACCTTTACGGACAGCACGGCCTCGAGGAGTTGTGACCTTGAAAACTGGCTGGCGGGACAAGTAATTTCAATCGAACATGAGTATTCGCCAGTCAGGAATGAGATTACAGAAGGGTGTTCGACAAAAGCCTTTACAAAATGTTAGAATCATATTCACTTAATTCAATAATCGAATAAGAAAAAAGTGAGTAAGGTATTAGCCTAAATAAATATATGAATTAAAATATGTAATTACTTGGTCACACTTTGATTCCCATATCTTGGGGATAAAAAGAATAATGAAATTAAAATTATAAGAAATTAGAATTTATTTGTCATTTTATCAAATACTTATTCCACAATCCCTAAAGGGATTTAAGTCTTTCTTTACTGTAATTCTCACTGAGTCGTAGTAGATGCCAGCACAAAAAAGATCCCTCACTCTTCAGTGTTTCTGAAAGCTGAGTAAAGGAAAAAAATTGCAGCTCTCCGCCGGCAATTGGTGGCGTCTCCATATAAGTGGAAAAAATTCTCAAGAGGGACGTTAAACAACAAAACAACAACAACAACACTTTACAACTTTATTTGAAGTGCGATCTATTTGGAAATACCGTGCTACACATTCAGATAAATGTAAAATACCGTATCGTTAGTTATTTAAACTGGTCTGACTCTCAAAATTCACGAGACATGATTTTTGTCTCAGAATTTTTGCTAAAGAGGTCAAAGGTCAAGTGGACTGTAAAGCTGGTATTTTAAATAATATCTTATGTAAGACAATACAAGTACTAAATCACTTTGTAAATGTCAAAATATGCTGTATTTCGGGTGTATATACTCATTTGATAAGTAGGTCAAGTTCAAAGGTCAAGAGATCGGAAACAATGGTATTTTTCACAAGCCTTGGGGTCAAGTAATACAAGTGTGAATATTAAATCCATATAAATTTGAGACACAAGACAGAAGAACAAACGGATGAACAGAATGACAGACACGTAAACTCTGGGAAAAGGGAAGAGTAATCCATAAGCGTCGTTCTGCTCTGCAGGCAATACAAAAATGAATCGTGAATTCAAGGTTTAAAAAATATCGATGGTAATTAATACTGATTTATTTAAACAAATTTAAAGTGACATTTTTATACAAGATATATATGCATAAATATGACTTCATTCATTTCAGTGATACTGCCTTGCAACACATATCAGAGTCAGTGTTTGTGAGACTGTGTCGTAAAGTGGGAACCTCACAACTGGTTGCCATGAGGAGAGATGTGGTGGACATCTGGGAGCTTGTGGTAAATCAAGTGAAAACAATGGATGAGTTCAGGGAGACGGTGAGTGGAAGTCGACCAGAAGGATTCAGATTGAAAGGGTCAGATGCAGACTTTATGTACTGGCCAGAATATCACCGTGTGGTCTGGAATTTCTCTTAGTGTCGGTATTATAACACACACAGACAAACACTGATCCTCTGTGACTGTTCTGATAGTCCACCACGATTCGCTTTGTTATACTTACTGTCACCATGCAGATACAGAGACATTCAGAGAGCTTGTGTTAGAATGAATAACAGACATTACATATCTAGTTCTAAATTCAGACAGATCGTGTGTTCTTCATCAATAATTAACACAACTGAACATGGACCTTGTGCCAGTGGACTTATTGGAAGAATAGAGTATGATGATGTTCACTGTTTTGTTAGTGACTTTTGGCCTCCACCTGCCTCCTCATGGATATATAGGTGTCAATCATGGCCCCCGCCTCATGTTGTTGATTGCATAGTGAAAATGGATGTCACTTTGTAGCAATCGGACATAATCTAGGAAGACATGAAGACCTTGAATGGAGAATTTCTTTCTCTCTAGCAGAACAAAAACTAGTGTATGCTATGAACCACTGTCAATTCCTAACTTACAGCTTGCTTAAATTGTTCTTAACAGAAATAATTAACAATGGAGTAGGTGACGATGATAAATTACTGTGTTCCTATCATATAAAAACAGCAATTTTCTGGGTGATTCAACAAAATACAATGCCTCATTGGTATCCACAAAATATCCTGGGGTGTTTTGGGGTCTATTTTAAACTCATCCTTAAATGGGTGTATGAGGGGGTCTGTCCTAACTTTTTCATTCCAGATAACAACATGTTTTTGAGTAAAATTCATGGCCACAAACAAGTTCAATTATTTGATAGACTGTATGGGTTGTATGAGAAGGGTTTAGCAGTCCTGTTACACAGTCCTTCTATAAGTTCTAATATAATAAATGTCCTCAATAACCCCAGGCTTTCCATCTCTACGGATGAAAAAACTCTGATTTCTGAGACTATGTTTGATGTAAGCCTATTTGATGAAATACAATCGCAAGACACAATAATCACATTAAAGCTACAAAGGAGTATGAGGTGTCTACATACAATAGAACAGATGATAGGTTCACCCCTCCTGACACAGTATCAAGTCCTTCTCCTACAGAAACTTACTGCTTCTGTCCTTCAGCAAAGTGCGTTTATATTACACATGTCACAAAGCAATATTTATACACTTAAAAACAATCTGAGGTACAGAGCTGACATAATCTCCTGTCATATGTTGAAATTAGCAGCCAAGTTTGGTTTTATTACTGGCATACTGTACCTAGCCATGTATTATTACAAGACACATAGATACATGAAAGCATTATTTATTATAGAGATGATCAAGGTCAAGATAGCACAGCCATATGTGATGCATAGGACAAATGTAGATAAAGATTTGTATACTGAGGCAGTAGGGAGACAGTCCTGGTGTTCAAAGATGAGACAGGCTGTAGCAATGGATATGGGACTTTGCCATTAAATCAGTTACATCAGTGAGTTGATGCTAGAACAACAGTCTAATCTACAGAAAGGTTACCATTTTTTATATATTTTATATATCCCACCCTTTATACTTCTACACATGCTACAGATCTTTTGCTACAGACATGCAGACACAGTGAGAGTACAAATAACTCTAGATGATCTACAGACCCTGGTCCACAATGATCAGGGCCAGCTTATACCCAAAGAGATCAGAGACATATCCTGGCAGATTCTGGGGATCTGTCAACAGGTAACAGGGAACCTCCAGGCTGCTCTATACTCATACGAACGATCTCTCAGACAAGAACCATTCAACAAAATAGAAACAGCTACAGTAACGAGAATACAGGGAATTTGTCGACAGAATCCTTCATATACATAAATGTCAGACATTTGTAGGAGTTAACCTGATATAGATTATCATTTACATATCCTCATTACATATTTATATTTCTCAGTCTTTATTACATTGAACATTAAAATACTGTAATTTATTCATTGAATAAAATGATATTTGTCATGTGTGAAAGGATATCAAAATGATAACCTTTCACAGTGTGACAAATATCAGAAGCAATAAAACTCTCGATTTTCCTTCCCGTAACGAAGAGTGGTTTTTTTTTTTAATTTCTTGACCTGATAAAAGGTAACTAAGTCATGGCGTCTCAACGGCTCAACTATGACATCATGTAGCCACTGACTGTATTACGATATACAGAGGCAAAGGAAATATCAAAAAAAGAAAAATATGTTCCTGTTCTTGAATATGGAATTTGTTTCACTCGTGAGACAGATTTTTTTTCATATTTTCACTCATGAAAATCTTGTCCCACTCGTAAAATAAATTCCATATTCAACTACACACCATTGAATATCCTCTATTTATTTTACCTCTGAATACTGGATTTTTAATGAGAGGCACCAAAACACACTGAAAGACCGATGATAAAATAATGACTTCGAAAAATCATTAAGCAGAATCAAATCATTGTTATTCTTTATTTTCTAAGTAATGTCTTTTGATTCATGGTTAGTGTTATCAAAATGAACAACAACAAAAATTGACTATTTTTCAACTTTATATACAAGTATTCCCCACGATAAATTAAAGTCCTGGCTTTCTGATATTGTTGACATCTGCTTTTTCAATAAAAACAATCCTATTGTACACACAATTACTTGGTTCATTTTCATTTCCTACTGAACTTTTTAACATGTTGTTATTATTTTTATTTACATTTGAGACGAATATTCCAAGTAAAACTGCATGTATTACACGAACGGACTGTCATATTGCCATGGTGGCAGATGATAGTTTTGTTGTTTTGTTTTTTTTTGCAATCAAAACGCTTGACTGACGGTTTACTAAATATTGAGCTGCTTTTAAAATGTACATTGAAAAATTTTAAATTCCCTCTACATGTAATAATAGTATGAATAATAGTAATAATAGTATGAAGTAGTTCCTTGAGGAATTTGAAGCTTTTAGGAATAAAACATGTACAACTTACACAATGAGCCCTAGAGATGGCACAGGGACAATCTCAAAATTTCATGTAAATCAAGCCTTTTTTCACTATTTCTCCGCAGTCGCAACTACTTCCAGGCCCGTGCTCATGACCTAAGCTGCCACACAAATTGCAGAATAACATTTGTACATACCAATGAACAGCAAGAGATAATGTCTCAACCACCTCGTTTTCAAGCTACAATTCATCCTGTGAACCCACCCCCGCTTTTCTGGTGAAATACCGGTAGAGTGAGTTTTGAGCTTAGTTTCGTATTTCTAGTCCATATCCCATATACGGTAGTTGTGACACTAAAGTGTCATATTTCAATAAAATACACAAGACCACCAATTCCCTCCAAATGCACCCAGAAAATATTCTAGCTATAAAATACCTATACCTGGGGCATGTGCCAATTTTTTATAAGCACTAGTCAGTAAATTTTCAATATGTGATGACCAACTAGCGTCATGTGAAAATAGTACTCCAAGATGTTTGTGCTCATTGAGAAAGTCCAAATGGCATTGTTGGTAGAGAAGCTTTGGATATTCAAACATTATCATATTTTACGTAACTGATAAGCAAAGCTTGTGAATCTGATCCCCCTTCTTGTTTGTTAAATTGTTCACATTTATACCGTCATTTTAATAAATGACATTATTCATCAACATGAAAGTGTTTTATTTGACTTTTAAAAAATTAGCAAAAACAAGCTGCAGTGATCTTGCCTATAAGCATTAGAAGACATAAATACTTTTCTTTGTGCTGAAGATTATATCTTTAGTTTTAGAGGGGTTGAATTTCATTAACCATTTCTTTTTCCAAAGTTCTAGTTCATTAAGATCTCTGTTAAGATTTCTTTCAATAATTTTCATATTTTGAGATGAATGCTGCAAAGAATTGTCATTTGCAAATAGTCTACATAAAGTAATCATATTTTCAGCAACATCATTCACATAAATTAAAACAAAGTGGCCCTAAAACTGAGCCCTGGGGAACACCAGCATACAAAGATTCAGGTAACGATAGCATATTACGATACAAAATTCTTTGATATCTACATTCTAAATAGCTTTCTATCCATTTATACAATTTTCCATTTATCCTATATGTTTTAAGTTTAAACAAAAGACCTTTATGTCAGACACAATCAAATGCTTTTGATAGGTCACAAAATACCAAACAACAAAATTTTCCATCATCTATAGATTTAACAATATTATCATATGTTTCAATCAAATGATATACGGTTGAGTGACCAGGTTGGAAACCAGCCTGATATTTGTAAAAGAGATTATTGTGAAGAAAATAATATTAAGTGTACTTAAAAACTACTCGTTCCATGATTTTCCCTACACAACTCAGCAATGAAACTGAAATGGTCCATAGATTGACAGTACAGAAGGATCATTTTAAATGAGGAAATACGTTAGCTAGTTTCCATTCTGAGGGGAAAATACATTCATTCAAAGATCGATTAAACAACAAAGGGGTTTGGAGAAAAAAAACTTCTGTATTGATTCACAATTAAAGATTATATAAGTGAATCCCAGCATGTTAAAAAAAATAGTCACGCTCAAACTCGATAAGCGGTAGATAGAGTTTGACGATGGATTTTTAATATTTGCAAGGGTGATGCACACTTTTGGTTGCACCAACCGTAAGTTTAGACCTCGAAAGACTAAAAACAGAAAGAATCTGTTTGCAGGCAATTTATCTAACGGAGTTTCAGACGAAAATACAATTGGATGTGACCGACTTCGAAAAATCCAAGATGTTGTCCGATGGTTACCTTTGTTTATTATTAGGTAGGGGTATATTGTTTTTTTATTAAAAGAAAAATGAGTATAACGTCAGGTTCCTGTGGTATAGACTGATAAATATTTTATATTATATACAGATTAGATGTTTTAGTGTAAACGGAAAGGATTTTGCTTAATTAAAAAAAATATAAATCAGTATGAAAATTGTGACCTTTTAATATCCTTAAATCGAGATAAAATCCTGCATCTAAATAAAAAGAAGGGGAACTGTGCATGCGAGCAATGAGCTCAATAAATACTATATGGTCATAATGACAAAGTCCATGTTCTGCACTGAGACAACGTGTCTAAATGAAAAAGTAAAATAAGAGGTGCATAATATCGCACTATATACTAAAGATTCAGTTAAAGTTTCATTTAATTTCAATGAGTGGTAAAAGAGAAGTTGCAGATAAAAGATGGCTATCCCAAAACGCAACAGACGAACGGAAGGACATCCCGATCACTGTATCACTGCTGGTAAAGTGCGAATCGAGAAAATCTTGGTTTCGGACACCAGCTACTATTGGTTTACATCAATGAGGCAGTTTATGTCAACTAAACGATCAGAAATGATAGAACATTTGATTAAGACGTAATTATTAATGTTCAGTATGGTTTAATGTTGTGCAATTGCTTGTTGGTTGAATACATATAAGGAGCAATCCAGTAACTGCTTTAGATTACGCCCCTTCAATGTATTTTACTAGATTATTATGTTCCCCAAACGAAGTTGGGGAACATATTGTTTTTACTCTGTTTCTTATTATTATTATTATTATTATTATTATTATTATTTTTCTTCTCGGGAAAATTTTGTCCGCGAATGATCTAGTAAACTACACATCCAATTTAGGTGAAATGTTTTTAGGGTCAGTAGACATGTTATGTAGATTTGCGGAATCAAGGTCATTTTGCGCGCACGTGCTTGCAAGAGCGCGCACGTGCAAAACGTGAAATGACCAACATATAATGGATTTAATCGTAACTTTTCTATTTTTTGACGAAATGTTTTGAAACTCATAATGTAAGGATATATTAGTAGTATGCACAAGATGTCATGGTCAAAATAGCAAGATCTCACGTGCATGCACGTGCGCTTCGCTCTGATTGGCTGAAACTAAAGTCTCAAAATCTTTCATGTATTTTGACGAAATCTTTTGAAATTTTGAAAATAGCCATGCATTAGGATATCCTACAATATGATGTATAGCAATTATCATGAAAACACGTGCATGCACGTGCGCTGCAATCTGATTGGCTGAAACTTTAAATAGCTATAACTCCCTAGATTTTCAACCAAACAGGATGGGGTTTGGAACATAGATATATGTAATGGACTTCTACAAGAGGGTATGGTCACCATACACAGGCACACACGTGCGTGTACGTGCGCTGCAATCTGATTGGGTGAAACTTTAAACAGCTATAACTCCCTTGGTTTTCAACCAAACAGGATGGGATTTGGAACATAGATATATATAATGGACTTCTACAAGTAGGTATGGTCACCATGCACATGCATACATGTACGTGTACGTGCGCTGCAATCTGATTGGCTGAAACTTTAAACAGCTATAACTCCCTTGGTTTTCAACCAAACGGGGTGGGATTTAGAACACAGATAGATGTAATGGACTTTTACAAGAAGGTATGGTCACCATGCTCATGTATGCATGTGCGTGCATGTGAAATGGGTAAAATCAAAATACAGTTGAATGAGCGTTTTTTTTTTCTTATACTTTTGGAT